ATGTAGATAAAGGTATAGATAGAAACGTGGATTATTAACAGCAGGCGGGCTAATAAATGGAGCAGTCAGTCGGATATTTTGGGAACGAACGAGTCATGAAATATTAAAACCGCCTCGGAGATAAAATTAATTGCGCAATAAAATCATTTTTAGAAACGATTAATATACACACTGATACACGCATACACAGACACACACACACATACATACACAGACACACACACACACATATGCGCACACCTACACGTATAAATATATCACAAAATTTATTGAAGTAAATTTATCTCTTAAATCGTGCATTAATATTTTTAAAGTAAATGTGGGCATGAATATTTTTTAGTATTTGTTTGTATGTATGTATCTGTGTTTGTGTGTGTTAGTCCGTGTGTTTATGTGTGTGAGTGTATGCGTGAGTGTATGTGTGTGAGAGTGTATGTAGATATTGATGGTGGTAATTCATCAAAGAGAAGAGATTGATTCTTGGTGTTTGGAGGGAACGATTCGTTCTATAACAACAATTCTTATTTTTTTTTTTCATCCCCATTTTCTTGTTTCAACGTCATTCGTGTTCATTCGAGGTTGTTGTTTTTATTTTTATATGCTTTTGTGTTTAATTATTCTGCGTTGAAAATGTTTAAATTAAAATCACTTTTTTATTATTTTCATTACAATTTGATTGGTAACGCAGTTGAAAATTATTTATGAGTAAAAGTTTTTATATTCATCCGTCTTTTCATCCATCCATTCATCTATCCATCCATTTACCCATGTATTTTTTTATCTAACTATATCTGTCCATCCATCCATCCATCCATCCATCCATCCATCCATCCATCCATCCATCCATCCATCCATCCATCCATCCATCCATCCATCCATCCATCCATCCATCCATCCATCCATCCATCCATTCATTCATCCATTTATCCATCCAATCTTCCATCTGTCTGACCATCTTTTCAATTTTTTGTTCATAGTATACCTTTAGGAGAGAGTTTAATGTCAATTTATACAATGAAGCTGGTACTAAAGGTTATGGCTATTTGATGATGAAGATGATGATGGGGATGATGACGATGATGATGATGATGACGATGATGAGGAAGATGACGACGATGAAGATGAAGCTGAAGATGGTGATGAAGATGATGATGAAGACGATGATGATGACGACGATGAAGATGATGATGATGATGGAGACGATGGAGATGATGATGAAGATGATGATGACAGCACGAAAAACAACCCATTTCCAACCATCAAAGCAAACACGAAACAATCTTTTCCTTTTAAAATTGATTGCTCGTATATAAGCGCACAAATACAAACAAACAAACCCACACACACACCCAAACACACACACTTACATTCACACGTACATACGCACTTACACATACACACACATTGACAAACAAACACACACACACACACGCACACGCACACACTCTTGATTCAGAGCCATGGCGTGCGAACAAATATTCGTTTCACGCATGCACAAGCAAGCACTTGCTGATGTTCACCGCGACACAACCCTTGCATAATTTAACACATACTTTCTGCAGTCAGTCATGCATTCATTCATTTATCCATTCATTCATTCATTCATTCGTTCGTTCGTTCGTTCGTTCATTCATTCATTCGTTCGTTCGTTCATTCATTCATTCATTCATTCGTTCGTTTGTTCATTCATTCATTCATTCATCCATCCATTCATTCATTCATAAAACCATCCATTCATTCATTCATTTATTCATGCACAAATATTTTCGTCAACATTTTTATCTGCATTTGCTTACATACGTTAATATTATTACTTTGGTAAGCAAGCAACTAATGATTTGTAGCTAATGAATAATTAAACATCTCAGCGGTGCACATACGCACGTGTTGTTGATACGCGTAGGGTAAATAAACTTTTTCTTGCATACGTGTTTATGAAAGTTATAGATACATTTGCATTTTCAAATGTTATTGCCAGCGTCAATTGATCAACCATTGTTATCTCTGCAATGAGTTTGAAGGCATTTGAAAAACCATTTACATATGTACTTGCAGTCCTTTTGACTCTAGGTATCAAATTATCTTTCAGCGGAATATTGTTATAACCGCGGGAATGATCGAAATGCGCTATGTCATTTATTATTTGATTATTGTTATCTTTGCTATATTTGTGATCTTTGGAAAGATTGTAAAATTGTATCTACGCTAAATCGGACTATAAACATGTCCTGAAAGAGTCAGGTTTCGAGTCAGGTTACAAGCAGAGAAAGTGAAGTCGTAAATATGATTTATGTAGTTACTTAGATAAGTTTATTGTTTCTATTACTGTTGGCATTCAAATAAACCTTCAACAAAGTTTGCGTTAGAAGCAGTTGTCTTCATCCATCGAAAATCATTAACTTAATTTAACAGAATAACGAACACTCGACGATCGTTGGAAGCTACAACACTGGGGTTGGAGATGTAGAGATCTTTGAAGTTATGACATCGGTGTTGGCAGTCACGAGAGTCAAGGGTTTACAACAATGTGCTTGTACTTTTGAGAACTGCAAATAAGGATTATTTTGTCTTCATCTTCAGTAGCTAAAGTTGTTTTATTTCATATGCACAGCAGTACCGTGTATTTTTGCTTCATAACATACCGCGTTTTTATATCCTCCTAGATTATGACGTCAGTGTCAAACTTGTCAACACATCATCATTAGCTCTGGTTTCATGTTTATATCTGGATTTAAAGAGATTTTTTTTCTCGGCACATCATCACCACCATCACCACCATTGTAATCATCACCATCATCATCCATCATCATCATCATTATCATCAACATTATTGTCATCACCATTATTATCTTTGTTGGTTCAAACATACCTTAAGATAAGATAAAACCATTTTGTTGCTATTTGGTTGGCCGGTGTTTTTGGATGACGACGATGACAATTTTGTTGCTACAAAAATTGCAGAAAATTTAGAAACATGAAATGAGATGAGAAGATAGCCTTTTTTAAAATGTTTTACATGCTTTCTGACACATACATGGCAGTTGTTAATTTCAAAAAGACATCTCATGGCGTTACATGGTTAACAAAGAAAAAAAAGAAAATGAAAAAAATTATTTTCGATGTTTATTACTATTATTCATTTATTTATTTCGTTATTTATTACTTTTGTTTTTTTTTATCAAAAAAGCCAATGCGAAAGAAAGAAAGAGCACTATATCACAATTTTATACTTTTTTTAATGGTTTCTTTGTACTTTTAATTAACGTTACTAACGGTAAACACTTTTTCTTCTTTTGTCTTTTTATAAGGTTTCTTTTTGTTTCAGTTTTTCCCATTTTTTCCATTTTTTTTAGGTGTGCAAATTTATGTTTCGTTTTTTTTGTTAGCTTGCAAACAAAAAATTATTGTCGTTGTTAATTCATTCATTTGCTCGTTCGTTCGTTCGTTCGTTCATTCATTCGTTCATTCATTCGTTCATTCACCCATTCACCAATTCATTCATCATTCATTAAAAACAAACTTCACACGCCAGCTTCTCAAAGAAAATATACAAAACTGAAAAAAAACCCGAACGCCATAGAAGGGAAAATAAAGCCAAATTAAATTACCAAGCCCTACAATGCCATCCTGTTAGCGATAATCACCGTATGATGTCATATTGACGTTTATGAGATTCGAGTTATTGCATTACGACAAACGTGGCTGTCCATACTGCTCAAGTTTTATTTTATAAAAATCTCGTCATTATTGTTGTCGCTGCTTTGTTGATGTTTATTTATTTATTTATTTATTTGTTTGTTTATTTATTTATTTATTTATTTATTATTATTATTTGATGAGATTGTGTGTAAATATTATGTATAATAATACATAAATTTTAGTAATGGTAGTATTAGTAGTAGTAGCTGCAGTAACATTAGTAAAAGGTTAAGTAAATATTTTGTAATTTTTATTGTCTGTTGTTATTCTTATTATTAACAATGTTTTTATTAACGTTATTTTAGTTATTTATTTTATTTATATATACATATATATATATTTAGAAAAATGCCATGAAATATAAACATTGCCGTAAGCGAAAATGTATAGGTTAGTTAGGAATGAACGACTGCTTTTATACATTTACGAACGAATTTATATAAATGCGTGCATGTTTGCATGTGTATGTTTGTGCGTGTGTTTGTGTCCGTGTGTCCGTGAGTGTGCGTGTGTGCATGTACATAAACCTCCCAGCAACAGCCAGAAGAATTGGGATTGGTCAGCGTACTGGCTCTTAATGATGACGTAGATAATCACGTGCTCACTTGATGTACTTTCATTGGTCCATCAATATGAATTTTTATTGCTCGTCTTAATCCTTTTCCATTCATCTGGTTTTAATTTTCGCCAGCCATATAAATAATAATTTATTGCAAAGAAGAATAATAATAACGCTGCTTTACAGTACTCTTGCTAGTGCTACTCTTCTTCTTATTATTATTATTTTTAGTATTTTTACTTAATGTAGTGAGGTTTTTTTTCTGTTACTACTACTGCTACGACTGTCAGTTTTATTATTACTAACTGTTACTACTTCAACTGCTGCTGCTGCATCTACTACTACAACTTTTACTACAACAACTGGTAAATTTTTTAATAGAACAGATCGATTGAGTTAATTGGAATTTTTCATATGTTGCGAATGGCAGTGTTACTACATGTAAAAATTTTTTCTTCTAAAGAGTTGGTGTAACCACCAACACAATACATATAAATCCCACCCAGGATTGTGATTTGCATAGCCAGCAAGCACGGTGAAACTAAAACAATTTATCACGATGACAACTGGCAAAAAAAAAGAAATACGTCAAAAATGGTAATACGCCAAAAATTTTATTGTGTGGGATGGGAAAGGATAAGACGGATTGCGATAGAAGTTAAAAAGGTTAAAGGTTAAAGGATAAAATGGGATAAAATTGCAGCGGATGGGACACATTTTGAGATAAATGAAATGGGGTGAAATGAAGAAAGATGTTCTAAAATGGGATAGAAAGAAAAAATATGGGATAAAATTGGATAAGACGCCACATGGTGGAATAGATTTTGGGACCGAATGTAATTGGATAAACAAAGGGATTGGATAAGTTGGGATAACAAAAAACGGTGAAAGATGAAACATTACGAGTTATGGTAAATTGGGATAAAAATTGAGAATGCCTAAATTTTCTGTTCAGGATAGGTCATTAAAAAAATTTATTTTATACAAATCAATAAAAATGGATCGAAAGAAAAATTGTGTTATATGAAATGATATGAATGGGGTAGAAAACGAATTTATATGAGATGGGTCGTGATGGCGTTGGAATTTTGATGAAATATATTTTTAGGATCAGAAAATGGCATTCATAATCACGATCTGTCGGTTTCTATGAGCGGGCAAATTAAATTTATTTGACAAAAATAAAAAATTAATTTGTTTTTAGAATTTTTATATTTCTGTAAGATTTGCAATATCGTTTGGTTTGAAAATTTTAAAAGGGCAAAGTTTCAACATACATTCAATATTGAGAAGATGATTTTTTAAATTTAATTTTAAAATCAAAGCTGTCTGAAATATTTTTAGCACTCTAAAGCTTTAGAAGTAGAGATAAAAATAGGCGGAAAAAATGGAGGATGTTTGTAGATAGAAAATTGTACTACAACCACACACACACAACCACACACACACCACACATACACTCAGACACAACCAAGTTGCTAAACAAAATCTCAGTACAATCATCAAGCCATCCAACCAACCAACCAACCAACCAGCCAAACATCCATCTAGCCAACCAACCAGCCAGCCATCCCTTAACAGACATACGTGTAGGTATACTTGTTTCATTGACTTGAAAGCATCACCATTACTTCATCAATTATTTACCTGTAGTGGAGGCACACGTTCACACAAGTACACACACGTACAAACGCACACATAATCATGCACATACACACACTCACATACACACGTATACACATACACGTATACACACACCCACATACACACGTATACGTATATACACACACACATGTACTTAAACGCCTTTTCGTACATACTCTCTACCCACCTATACACACTTACACACACATATACATACACACATACACACACATAAACACACGTACCCACACACACCCACACACACACACACCACACACAGAGTATAATTGTGCTTTTTATATTGCAAGAAAATAATTGCTTGCACTATAAATTACAGACCGGCTCGAGCAAGATTAAAAGGCGATTTAATTATAACTTAAAATAATTCCTAACTCGCATCATAATTTTTTTGCCTAAGAAGCATTCGATCCCAACCTACTGAGGGCACAATCAATACGATGCTGCGGTGATGATGATGCTGATGGTGATAGCGAGGAAACTGAATATTTAATCGTGACATCAACTAAATATTTAATCGTGACATCAACTAAATATTTCATCGTGACATCAATTAAATATTTCATCGAGACATCAATTAAATATTTCATCGTGACATCAACTAAATATTTCATCGTGACATCAATTAAATAGCTTCAAAAAATATTTCAGTCGAAATTTCAACAATGGCTAATTAGTGTAGTAAAATCATGATGATGATAATATAATAATATAAATATAATATAAACAGCAATATAAACAGCAACAACAATAATAATAATAACAACAACAACAATGATAGTAATTAAAACAACAACAACAACAATGATAGAAATAATAATAAAAACAACAGTAACAACAACAGCAGCCACAACAACAACAGCAACAACAATACATCTATCAGAAACTCAAGCTTCAGTGGCGTCACCATAAATTTGCGCTCTCGGGTTTTTCTCACTCCTCATACTCGTATGCTAACATCCCAAACAATTGATTTCAACATACTTGTGTTGCGTGTGTTTGTGTTCGTGTTTGTGCGTGTGTGTGTGCCGTATTTGTGCGTGTGTGTGTAGATGTGCGTACACAAAAATGCATACATTTGTAGTAAATGCAAACAAGCGCGAACGCACGCAAACATACGCAAAAAACTAGTAAATATGCTTAAACATACGCAAATTACAAAATCATTTCTTGTTAGATTACTCAAATGCCTGTGCTTGAATACTTTGCAAACACTTGGTCAAAAATCAGTTTCAAGATTCAATCTTCCCAAAAGTACAAAAACAGAGTTGCCGAATTTATATTTCAATTCGATTCAATCCATTGTTTGCCTACTTCTTTTCATATTTAATTGTAAACAAGTTTGTTTGTTCATGTTCGCTCGTGTTTGCTCAAGTTTGTAAATATTTGCGAACCTTTGTGTCTGATTTCATGTAGGTATGTTTGATTTCATGTAGGTTTGAATGTAAGTGTATGTATTTGTTTGTATGTGATTGTTTTTATGTAGTAATTATTCGTGTTGGTTTCGTTTGTAAGCGTTTATATTTTGTGTTTGTACGTGTTTGTATGAATTTGTACATGTTCGTATGTGTTTGTATTTGTTTGTATAAGTTGGTCTTTTTTCATGTTTGCACATGTTCGCACGTGTTTTCATGTACGCAAGAGTGAACAAGAAAGAGGAGAACCATAGATGAACGGCCAGGGATTTTATGGAAACATGCAAGTTGTCAGGAGTTCGCATTGAAAAGAAGACAATCCATTCATTCATCTGACGTCATCATGTCGTCATCTTTCCATTGCTTCCTAAGTGATGACGATGGTGACGATGATGATTGTGACGATATGGATGATGGTGGTGATGAAGACGATGGTGAAATGAGAAAAATTATAACAACGGAGATGGTGGTGATGATGGTGGTGATGATGGTGGTGTAATATTTTAATGGTTACTGTTCTGTTGGTTTAGTAAGATTGAAAGGTGAGTATAGAGTTTAAAGGATAATAATGAATAATGATAATAAAGTTGCTTGTTGAAAAATATGATGATGGTGATAATGAAAACCATCAGTGATATATAGATGCAATTGAGATGATAAAATTTGGAACAGCATAATGCTGACAACAAAAGAAATGCCTTCGTTGAAAAGAAATTAAAAGAAACAAATTAGAAAAAATAAAATGACACTGACAAATAACTATAATGATGACGATGGCGATGATGATTGTGGCTAAGATGATGAAAATGATGATGATGAGGAGAAGGAGGATGATGATGACAATGATGATGATGACGAAAACGATGATGACGATGTGGCTAAATGATGACAGGACAGGCATTTTTCCCTCTTGGATTATTTTTTTAACCTTTTAGTCCCTGCATTCTATCTTTTCTTCTTTCTTCTTTCCTTTCTATTCTTTTCCTCCATTCATACCTTCCACTTCCGTTTTGACGTGTTGTTTTTGTTTATGTTTTTGTTTATATTTTTGTTTATATTTTTTGTCTATGTTGTTGTTGTCTATGCTGTTGCCTATGTGGATGTTTATGTTGTGGTTTATGTTGTTGTTGATGTTGTTGTTTACGTGATCTATTTATTTTCAAGTTTTTGTTGTTTATGTTAATATTTTTGATTTTTGTTTGCCAACCTTGTTATTATTAACGTTAGAATCGTTTTCAATAATAATAATAATAATAATAATAATAATAATAATAATAATATAAAAAAATAATAATTATAATTATAATAATAAAACAATAATTCCATTGTTGACGTCACACCGCAGACAATCCCTACATGTTGAACTGCTACATGAGGGAGAGCAAGTTGATCAAAACATGTTTCCAGTTGATGGGATCCGCCTTCAAATCTGCCCTATCCTCTACGGATTTTAACAAGGGCTGTAGGTTTGTATTGTGTGTGTGTCTGTGTGTGTGTGTCTTTGTGCCGTTGTGTGTGCCTGGTTTTACGTTTATATGTGTGAGTGTGTCCATATATAAGTGTTTGTGTGCTCGCTTTTGTGTATGTCTATGTCAGCATGTCTTTGTGGTTAGTGATGACGACACAGATGATGACGTCACAAATTTGGCGAGGATGAAAACCTGTACCAACATTTTCAATTTTTTGTTAAATTTATGTGTAGTTAATTTCTACTGAATTAATTAAATAATTAGTTAAATGATTGATCCACTAATTAATTAAAAACTCTGTAATTAACTTTCTCTAGTATTTTATTGGGTGATTAATTGAGTTAATTAATAGTTCTTCTAAAATTAAATTTTTTTTAACGGTTATGTATGGCTGTTTGAGAACTTTTTAAGTGCGTGTTGAGACTCATTAGCTATTGGAAACTATTAATTAAACAGTTTTCCCACATTTCAATTATATTTTGAAATTATTTTTCAACCGAATTTCATCAAATAAATTAAAATCAAATAATTCCCAAAACCTCAAAAACCAAACGACCTTCACTTTCTTAGAATCCTCACCCTGGCCATCAAATGTTGCGACGACGTGGAGATGAACATACGAAGCAACTGCAACGGCGACGCTTCCGAGCACTTCGTCCTCAAATACGTTCGGCCACTGCTAAACTTCCATCACGATTTTGTGGTCAAACACTGCCCAAAATTGCTGCCAAGTTACGTACCAAGGCTTCGGTTGTTGATGAACCAGGCAATCTGCTGGCAACATTCAGTGTTCTTATGTATCATAACAGCCTTCATGTCGGTTTTCACTTGTCTCGATCAGTGATGTATTGGAGCTTCTAATTTGTAGGAAATGATGACGCTGATGATGGGGGTGAAGGAGTTAATGATTGTAATGATGACATTCTAGTGAGGACATAAATGATTATTATAGAATGATAATGCTGCATGTACTGTACATAGTCAATGATATGATGAGTTACTCAGGCTCAATTCAGACAATGTTCATCATCATAGTAGCCAGACATTGTACATTTTGTTTTTTTTTATTCTTTTTTTTAAATATCGTTGTAATTTTGTACAATATCTTATATTTTAACAGCCCTATCATTTTCGTTATAGTCGTCATATCACAAACTGCACTAGATGTTTATTATCATTATTGTTATATTTATCATTACCCCGCATATAATATATCATTGCTCTCAGTTGCTGAGTATCGTCACATCTCTTGTTAACCACTGAATACCCGAACGCCACCAACCACAACCAATGACGTCAAGCCGCATCAAATCGCAACCAATCATACCGAGCCACAATCCACAACCAATCACAAGTCCCACTAAACACCAACCAATCACAGCTAGCAGCATCCAGACGCAGCCACTCACAATTGAGCGTTAAATTATTCCAAATCCCCAATAACGTCATTCACAAACACACAAAACTCAACACCAAACAATACATTACATAAAAAAAGATAATTTACTTGTAAAAAATGTGATTGTAGAATTAACAATTGTTATGTAGATCAGATTTCAACAGTTTAACGGTTTAGTTTGTGATTCTTAGTCTGTATTATCGTTAATTTTTTGTGAAAAAAACGCTCAAAATCATTTCGTTTTATCATTACAAATGTATATATCGCCACCAGATCAGTTGTACGGTAAACTAACATAACCCCTCCTAGGCATTAAACTTCAAAGCGTTTAATTTTTTACGTACAAATGATTTATCATGAATAATAAAATGAAATAATTGTTTAAACAATTTACGAACCATAAATTACAACGCTCAATTAAACGTTTTTATTTTTAATATTAATTTTCTTGAATTTAACTCTTCATCTTTATCTCAAGACCAAGCTAATGAATCTTCAGCAAACTATTTCAATGTGTGAAATCTGGCGAGTAAATTTTAATCGTCGTAATTTTTCGATTAGTTTGGTTGACTTTTCAAAAACACTTATATAATTTAATACTTATTTTTAAAATTGATTTAAATAAAAATGAATATAAAAATATGAATATATAAATATATTTCTAGCTAGTTGTCAAAATACAGTGCTTCTAAGTTGTGTTGGAGCTTAGTGAGTTGTAGTCTTAGTGTGTGTCTGTATTTTGCTCCGACTAAGATTAATCTTATCGAACAATTTTATTAATAATTTAATTGTTTTGTTATTAATCAATAATCAAATAATTAAATAAATATTTCAAGTTAATTTATTTTCTTTCGTATTTATACTTTTTTAAATGCAACATAGCCGATATATCGATTTGTCATATTTTCAGTTTTTAACGTAAAGTTATAAAATAATATTATTATTGTTTGTGTAATGGTTATAATTATACTATTATTATTATTATTACTTTTATTTTTATTTACTGTTTTATTAATTAATTAATAATGTTTGTTTACATTAATTCGAAATATTGATAATATTTATTACTAATGTTTTGGATATGTTGCAAAAGTTTATGAGTGATTTTACTATGCGTTTCTTTCAAAATTTCAACCCTTGCCGATTTTAATTCGCACATTCATGGTTGATAATGACATTATAAAATGTTTAATTTTTGACAGAGATTTTTAATATAAGATGCGTGGTAGGTGGGTTGAATACCTATCCGGTCAGCATCCGGTCAGTTGCCTCTGAAGATGGCGTCAAAACAACTGGTCAATACTACTAAATAAGTGTCCACGTTTTCAGAAACTAAATTTTTATCAAATCAAATGGAACAGCAGCCAATAATTTGAACAACAATGACGTCATACAAACAATTGAATCAACTATTGAAAAACGAAAAACATTAACTACAACAACAACCACAACAACATCAGCAACAAACACAATAACTACTATACCTGTGACATCAACAACAACCCCAAAACAACAATCACCTATTTCATCAACAACCACAAATAGTCACATCGAACCGCAAATCAACAGCCATTCGAACTAAATCACACATTTTCCAATGCAAACTACAACACCAACATCAACATCGGCAACAACAACAACAACAACAGCAGACATCATCAACGAAATTAATGTCGGCAACATCTGAAAAAACAACATCAATGTCAATAGCATGACCAACCATAACCACGCTGACTTGTAAATTTCAATTGTGATCACACTAAGACCTTCGGAATATGACGTCAATTGAAAAAAAAGATAAGCAAAGCAATAAACTTGTTGAATAAACTGCATTTAAATTGGTAATAAACTCAGCAATAATACCCCTTTTACTATATCATTTCTATAATCATTCCACTAAATTATTATAATTTTATTATAATTATTATATTTTTCCAAATGATAAATTATTTGTTATTATTATTGAAATATATAGCGCTTATTTAATTGTTAATGTAAACACATTCTACTTTTAAATTTTGAGTGTTCCGCACCAAACAGGCTAACTGACAGTTTATTGCCTGATGAAGACATGATGATGGTTTTTTGAAATTAAAAATTAATAAATGTGTTTTTAATAATATTGATAGTAAATAACTAGTTTTTTGTTTTTATTTTTTATTTATTTAAAATTTGTGAAATATGAGTGTTTTTATGTACGTTAAAATAACATTACATAACATAACAAAGATTTTTTATGGTGATTCAAGACTGAGTCTGTGACAGGACCCCTCTGAGACTTTTTTTAATATCCTACTTTTGCCAAGTTTGCTTTAAAGTTATAAGTTGTTTCTGCGCATATTATTTCATCTCCCAGTTTGTTCCACTCGTTGACAACTCTGAAGCTGAAAATTTTTTGCTTTATCGATCCTGAACTTTTTTAAAAATCTTATATTTATGCCCCCTTGTTTTACTGTTCATCTTAAGCTCAAAAAATTTCGTTGATTCCAAATTCTCTTTCATAATGATGATTTTGCATGCCTGAATCAAATCTTCTCTTTTGCTTCTTTTTTCTAATGTTGTCAATCCACAAACTTTTAATCTGTCTTCATATGCCATACCGCAACACTCCTTTATCATTCTCGTTGCCCTTCTTTGAATATTCTCGAGCATATGTTCGTCCTTTTGTAAATCTGGATTCCAAAGCTGAACACAGTACTCCAACTTATTTCGAACCAATGCTTTATATAGGTTTAATATGACGATCGTATTTCTGCTTTTCACTGTTCATTTCATCATACCCAGAATCCTGTTTGCACTTTTAGCTGCCTCAATGCATTGCCGCGCTCCCTTACCATTCCGATGAATTATCATCACCTCTGGATCCTTTTCCTCCTCTAAATTTTTAGTGGTGTGTTTCCAAGTTTGAATACGTTTACCTTGTTGTTCGCTCCCATATGGATGACTGCACATTATTTGTTAGTGTTGAATACCATCCGCCAATCTTCTGCCCATTTGCATATTATTTGTAAATCGAATTCTAGAATTTCAACATCTTCATCGTTGTCTACAGCAGCACATAATTTAGTGTCATCGGCAAATTTTGAAATTTTAGACTATTCCTAGATCAATACCATCGATGTATATTACAAATAGCAACGGTCCTAATGCGAACCCTTGAGGAGTCCCACTTGAAACATTGCTCCAGTTTGAGAAACTTTCACCACTACCAACTTTTTGCCGTCTATCTTGTAACCAATTAGAAATGCACTTGAGTGTGTCTCCTGTGTTGCCTCTAATTTTAAAGCCAAACCTTTATGCCGTACTTTATCGAAAGCTTTAGCAAAATTAAGTGCACAGTATCCACTGCTTTCTTTTTGTCCAAATTTTCATTATTAATTATTATTATCTATTAATTTTGATGCTATCAGCTAATTTTTTCTTATAATTTTCAATGGCCTTCCTATTAGACTAATAGCATTAGCATAGATAGATTCTTTTTTTCTGTTTATATTTGTTTTCTAGCTGCTGCATTTTGAAATCTTGGTATAACCTCCATGCCTTGTATTTAGCTTGTCTTCTCTTCTGTACTTCTTCTTCTTGATGTATTCCTTATACGGCGAAACATATTCCAAAACCAACTTGTACATCATTTTCAGGAATAAATTCCAGCCTCGCTGCACTCCTACTGCTTCATTGATTTAGCCAGGTTCAGTTTCCGGAGTTTAATTTTCATTTGGTCATAGTTTGCTTTAAATAATTTACCTATTTCATTTGTTGTTACTTTGATCTGGTTCTTCCCATTTTAACTTGAATCTCATAATCTGATGGTCACTGGATAAAATGTGCTCTCCAAATTTTACATCCTGGGCATGGTTATCATAGGATGAGATGACTAAGTCTAGAATATTGTTTCCTCTAGTTTGTTCTTCAACATGCTGCAACAGAAAATTATCGTTTACATAATCCAACACACGACTGTCTTGCTGCCATTCCTATTTTCGCTGAGCGTGTTTATAAGTTCCTGCAGTCAACAAATACTTATTGCTTTTATTCTTTATTTCAGACCATACTGCCTCCTGGAGATTGATATTACTTATAGTAATAATTTCAGTTTAAATTAATTTATGATTCAAGTTTTAGCAAATTTAGTTTTTTTAATTTTTGTTTATTTATAAATAATTTAAATATTTTAACATAAAAAATTTATTTTTTCAAAATTAAAAAGTCCTAAGTACCAAATTTATAAAGTCAGTACCAAGTTATTCATTCATTCATTCAATTTTTTTCATTCATTTATTTTTCATTCATTTATTGTTCTTTCATTTATTAATGTCCTTCCATTCATTTTCCTTTATCCATCTATTCCGATTCATTTATTCATTTATAAGAAACCTCTTCAGTCAATTTTTATTTTTTTATTTCTTATCGATTCATTCTTTCGTTCGTTCGTTCTCTCATTCATTCACGCCATACAACTCACTCCATCTATCTTCGTTCGTTCATTCACTCATTCAAATCTCTTTTTTTCATTCAATCTATCTACGTTACCCTGTTTAAAATGTAACAAATGTAGTCATGTTTTTTTATCTAACAATGTATTTGTAACTTAACTTACGTACATTTATAAGTAATGAATTATATATAATTATATATATAATATATTATATATAAATGATATATATATATATATTTATATATTCATATATTTATGTTTATCTTCTGGTTTATTAATTATTTATAGTAATTGATATGAACATTTTCATTTGAAACCAATAAACTGCGTGGCTCAAATGTTGATTCAAAATTTTTCCTTATGATGTAGATGTTGAGATGACTGGTCTTGCGTTTGATGCTGGGATCCCTTGCGTATTTGCGTGAGTGTGGCAACTCTGTGGCGTCTATACATCTAAAATCTAATTGAAAAAGAATCTATAATAATAAAATAATAATGAATAAAGAGAAAAATATATATGTATGTTTTTGTATTTGTCTTTGAAAACGACATATCATTTAAATTAAATTAAGCGAGCTGTTAAAAAATGAGATTTGAAAAAAAATTCATTCTTACAAAATTGAACCGTCCATTTACAGATTGGTTTTGCAAAAATAGTGACACCCAGAAAATTCAATTATTTATTTTTTTTCAAAAGTTTCTCAAAAAAAAACAAAACTTGTGAAAAAAACTTTTTAAGTGTTGGCACGGGAGTTCGGTAACGAATTTGAGGCGTTAGTTCTCAATGAGACAAATTAAAATGAACCTTCTACTATTGCTTCGCCCAAGTGCATAGTACGAAGTTTTTGAATTTCAAATTTTGTTTCAAGAAATAATACACGTGTATGTATGCGTGTGTATGCGCGTGCATGCGTGTGTATGGGTGTGTGTGTGTGTATGGAGTATGTGAGGGGTATGTAAGGGGTATGTAGGGGTATGTAATGCAAGGCCTGTGAAAGCCCGGGTCATATAATAGGTGACTACAAGCAGAAGTTTTCCTATCAATATTTATAAAAAATGATGTGATGGGCACTTTTTTAACTAAAAGGGCCATGCTCAATGTCCATCTTGACCCATCTCTTTCAGGGAGAGCCTGGGTGTATTCATACATGTGTGTATGTGTGTGAGTTAGTGTGTGTGTGAGAGTTAGTGTATGTGTGTGTGTATGCATACGTGTACATATGAATAGGTTTTCGGATAGGGCGACCAAGTTGTCTGTTTAATGAGCCGTGCATGTACAAACATTTCGTGAGCCCATTACGAATTGAGTAATCAATGAAGAGGCGATGATGGTGATGATGATGCAGATGATGATTGTAATGATGATGATTCAGATGATGGTGATAATAATTATGATGATGATAATTATGATGATGATACGAATGTTGGTGGTGATAATGATTAGAATGATGATGATGATGACGTAGACGAAGATGACGTAAGTTGGTGATGTTGACGATGATGATGCATGTATGAAATTATCCACCGTGTATTTTTTTTCTATCTTCTCTTAAGACGAGATATCTGATCGCCTGTCTGTTTGTATGTATGCTTTAATGTATGGCATTTTATAGGATTGTTTTTTTGCATGTGTTATCTCGCTGCCATGTTTGTATATCTAATTGTTTGTGTGTCTCTATTTGTAAGTGTGTTTGCTTGTGCGTGTGCGTCAATTTGTGTGTCTGTGTGTGGTTGATGTGTATGTTTTTGTTGTGTGTGTGTGTGTTTGTTGTGTGTGTGTCTCTTTGGTGAAATGTTAAATTGAAAATGTTGGCATGCATTTGTCATATCTGAAATCAGGGCGTCGTTTATAATTCTCCTATTTTCAATCTTGCAACATTAGCACGGTGAGTCTGTGATGTATCCTTATGTATATCTAATGTATATATCTAGTATATCTAACGTATATATCTAGTATATATAATGTATATATCTAGTATATCTAATGTATATATCTAGTATATCTAATGTATATATCTAATATACCTAATGTATCTAATGGTTATAGTGTATATATTTAGTGTATTTAGTATATCTAATGTATCTATCAACTCTATTGTATATCTTATATATCTAGGATTTATAATGTATAAATTTAGTATATATATAGTGTATATAATATATCTAACGATTCTAATGTATTTTTCTAGTATATCTAATGTAGTATCCGTATATCTAAAGTATCCAATGATTCTAATTTTTATATGTATTCTATTATATCTAGCTTATATCTTTTATTAGTCACTTCTTGATAATTTTTTTTTAAACCTTAATTACTAGCTTAATTGCGTTCAAAAAAACCCATTAAAAAAATCTTTTTGTATCCTATTTTGTAAACAATTTTTCCAGAAATTTTTATTTTTTAATTGCAAACGCGAAGTTAAATCTTCTGATATAGCAAAAAAACATGAATAATAAATGAAAAACGACGCAAACATACTAATGATCCAAGATAAAATTTGATGCTTTTCTCAACAAAAAGTACCCTACAAATACCGCTATCTGCATTACAGGGTATTCGCAATAATCTTATACCAACGGGTCTTGTTCGCTAAAAAAAAGTCGTCAAACCTTATGATCAAAAAAGGAACAAATTCTCCCCCTTCAAAGGTAAAATAGTTTTCAATGCGGCTCTCGCACCAAAAGTTTGCCTACCCCTGTCCTACATAAAGCCATATTTCTGAGACCTAAAAAATATTCTAGCGTGCAGCATTTGTAAATCATTGAAACAATTATTGGAAAAATGAGCCGTTAGCATTTTATTGCATAAATACAATAAAAAATGTATATTTTACTAATATTAACACACACACACACATAAACACACACACATACAAACATACATAAACACACACACAAATATACGCACCCTAACAAGCCAACAAACAAATAACCAACAATAACGAAACAAACCGAGAAACACAGATGCATAAGCAAATGAACATACATCATACATAATGATACTGTCACACACACACACACACACACACACATACAATATGCCTCTGCATACGTAAAAATAATTATTTAGCCCTAACTGAAAGAAAGCATTATGCAGTGTAAACTTCATTCAGTTCACTGAAAGAAGGATTGTTATGACATTAACAACCTTACAACAACAACAACTACATCTATATCAACAACAACATCAACAATAACAACTACAGCAACATCGTCATCATCAACAACTACAACTTCATCAACAACAACAATATCAACAATAACAACTGCAACAACATCATCAACAACAACATCATCAACAACATTAACAACAACAACCAACAGTAACCACAACATCACATTGATGACATTTACAATTTTATAAAAACAACAATAAACAGATAAATGAAAAAACACAGAAACCACAAACGCAATTATAACAAAATAGTTGTAGGTCGTAGAAAATACATCATCAACAACAAACAACAACAATGAATAAAAATGATTTATACAAAAAACCAGCGATCAAAATACAGCCTGAAGCAACAAAAAACCATAGAACAAAAACCATAGAACATTAACAGGACAAATAAACAAACAACAGCTAAAATACATTAACGAAATGACCTAACCCTAACAGAATGACGTCACAATAACTAAAAAACATTAAAAAAATGACATCAACCAAATAATTTTAAAAAAAGTCAAGATATAACTCAGTGTTGATAAATAGAAGTATTTTAATGATAATAATGATAAAAACACAACACTCTAGCAACAACAACAACAACAGAAAGAACAACTTCAACAGCAGTAACAACTCATACTATTACTAATATTACTACTACAACAACAACTACTGCCGCACAGCAACACAACAAAGCAACAACAACAACAACAACAACAACGGCATCAACAATAGCATTATAAGACCACATAAACATTTGTATGCATGCTCCGACTTGTCTTTCAGAGGCCCATGTTTACGATTGCGTGTTGAGTAGTGTGGTATCGCGTACTGTGGTGTGGTGTCGCTTGGTGTCGCTGGTTTGGCGCTTCCATCTATCCATCTTTTTGTTTAATTATTACAGGTTTCACTTACGTCGTTGGATGCTTTTTTAGGCGATCTAACCGAAGAACTGCTTAAATAATTATAAGGATGTCTGTTTTATGAAATTTTTTTTTATTTTAGCGCAATCCCTTTCTAGTCTTATTACAATTTCAAAATGAAACAAAAAAAGAGTTAGTGCATTAACAAACAAACAAACAATCATACTAACTAACTAACTATTTAAAAAACTATTTAAATAACTAACTGACAAACAAACAAACAATCAAACTATCTAACTAACGGACAAACAAACAAAAGAATAAAATAACAAAATGGATGAATAAATGAGTGACTGAGTGACAAACATTTTTTTTTGTTATGCTCTTGACGACTCAATTACATGAAAATGACGTTTTCGCGTTCACCGTCGGCATGGTAAAGTCCAACAACTGACACTCCATACGTACACACCTACATGCATACACACATACATACATAAATACATACATACATACATACATTTTGAAAAAATATGGGAACGCCCTCCCCTCTATGGAATTCTTGCCAATATGTATCGAGGTTCTCGGCCCGATGGACCCCAACACCCTTAAATTTCATAAGGCAATATGTAAAATGATCAGCGTCAGATCAGGCGACAGCAGGGAACTGTTTTTTGCAACTAACCACATTTCGTGCTTGTTGCAGCGGTTCCTGCGTGTTTGTGTGCTTGAAAATATCCAACTGAATGCCGACATGTGCAATTAACGACAAATCAAAGTGTTAATCCATTTGTTACTTGATGTTTGACGGTTCAGTGTCACTCATCATGTTTTGGTTTTAACATACATACATACATACATACATACATACATACATACATACATACATACATACATACATACATACATACATACATACATACATACATACATACATACATACATACATACATACATACATACATACATACATACATACATACATACATACATACATACATACATACATACATACATACATACATACATACATACATACATACATACATACATACATACATACATACATACATACATACATACATACATACATACATACATACATACATACATACATACATACATACATACATAAATACAAAAATTAATTGGCGGTAGAAAAAACATGGCACTAACTACAAAATATTTTTGCAGCATTACTATCATGTCAAATGTAAGTCTTAAAACTGTCGGTGGCTAGCTTTCAAAGAATTGTCCAGTCAGTCTGCTGTCCATTTGCCATTCATTAACAACTGACTTGACCAACTGAACGGTGTCTTTCTGAGGCTTATCAACGTGAATGTAACTGAAAAACTTTTTAATTTATAAAAAAATTATTCAAATATAATAAAAAGTAATTAAATAAATTGATAAATTAATATATAAAGATGTATATTCAATATGAAATATTATATGTAGATAGTTGTCGTTTGTGATATCAAACACTGATCACTTTTGTTATATCATATTACACGTTTCGAAATTTTTGTCAGTTAAAAAATATTTTGTTTCGTTTCATTTCGTTTCGAAATAATTTTTGATCCGACATTTGTAATAAATAAACGTGTTATAATTTCACATTGTCGAACTTGCCGCGAATGTATAAAATTTTGTAGGGGGTGGGGGGAATGTGAAGAATTGAAATGTCGAAATAAAATTTTCACATTTTAATTTTGAAAATTACTATTCAGAAAAAACTGAATAAAAAATTTCTATAGCAAAAAATTATTTTCACATGAAAAAAAAGATGCCTGACATGCGATCAATTTAATCGGCAAGTTAGCTCAGACGGTAGAAGCGCCATGTTTCGAACGCACTGTCATTACGTAATAACCTGATTCGAATACTGTCTGTCCGAAACTGATAGACTATAATACAATTGGGGGTATGATGTGGCATTTGTAGTACAGTTTCCACTAAACACCAAACGACTTGCTGTGCATGTCATAGGCGCATAATTAAATCTGAATAACAAAAAATCGCATACTACATAGTTATATCTGAATATCCAAAAGATAGACGGGTCGATAAATTGATGAATGGAAAGATAGAGAGATGAAATTATTGTAAGATAGAGAAATGAAATTATTGAAATAACCAATTTTATCCATTTATATAATGACATAGGAATGAATGGATTGAAAGAGCGAGGGGAATGCGGTGCAATGGGAGAATTTTTTTTTCTTCACTTGGAGTAATTGAATCCCGTTGAACGTGGGAGCTGTGTAA